ACTGTACCCCATGATAGTATTAACGTACACTGCTATGATTTAATTAAAAAAAAATTCTAGCAATGGTCACTGGTGATGGCTATACAAAAATGTTAATGTACTAAACGCCACTGAACTGTACACTTAAATCTTTGTTTGAGACAGTCTTATTGTCACCCTCAGTAGAGTGCTATGGTGTCACAGCTCACAGCAACTTCAAACTCTTGGGCTTAAGAGATTCTTTTGCTTCAGCCTCCCAAGTAGCTGGGACTACAAGCACCTGCCACAATTTCTGGCTATTTTTTGGTAGTAGTTGTCATTATTGTTTGGCAGGCCCACACTGGGTTCAAACTTGGCAGCTCCAGTGTATGTGGCTGGTGCCCTAGCCGCTGAGCTACATTAAATCTTTAAAATGGTAAATTTTATTATTTTTGAGACAAAGTCTCGCTTTGTTACCCAGGTTAGAGCGCTGTGATGTCAGCCAGGCTCATAGCAACCTTAAACTGGGCTCAGGCAATCCTCCTGCTTCAGCCCTGAGTTGCTGAAACTACAGGTGCCCACCATAACACCCAGCTAGTTTTTCTATTGGAGTCTCCCTCTTGCTCAAGCTCCTCTTGCCTTGGGCTCTCAAAGTCCCAGGATTACAGGCATGAGCCGTTGCACCCAGAGTAAAATGGTAAATTTTAAAAATTAGCCAGATATGGTGGTACAAGACTATAGTCAGTCCCTCTAGCTACTCAGGAGGCTAGGCTATGAGGATCACTTGAGCTTGTGATGATGAGCTATGATGCTATGAGGATGCCACTGCACTCTACCTAGGGTGACAGCAAAACTGTCTCAAAAAAAAAAAAAAAAAGGCTTGGCGCCTGAGGCCTAAGTGGCTAAGGCACCAGCCACATACACCTAAGGTGGTGGGTTCAAATCCAGACCATCCGCCAAACAATGACGGCTGCAACAAAAAATAGCCGGGTGTTGTAGCAGGCCCCTGTGGTCCCAGCTACTTGGGAGGCTGAGGTAGGAGACTCTCATGAGCCCAGGAGTTGGAGGTTGCTCTGAGCTGTGATGCTATAGCACTCTTATCCAGGGGGACAGCTTGAGGCTCTGTCTCAATTAGGCAATCAATAAATAATTTCTACTACATAAAGTTTTTTAAGTTTAGGAGAAGTGAGGAAATTTTCCGAATTATAGTGAAATGAAATATAGCTATCATTTCTTACCCAATTTTATGAACCCCAAATAGAATCTTACTGGAAGAGCACCAATTACTCTACTAAACTACCCCTTTCTTCCAGTTGTTAGGTATGAGGAGAGTGCACCCGTATGGTTTTTATTTTTTTGAGACAGAGTCTTGTTATGTCCCCCTCGGTAGAGTGCTGTGGTGTCACAGCTCATAGCAACCTCAAACTCTTGGCTTAAGTGATTGTCTTGCTTCAGCCTCCCAAGTAGCTGAGACTACAGGCACCCATCACAATGCCCAGCTATTTTTTTTTTGCAGTTTTGGCAAGGGCTGGGTTTGAACTTGTCATCCCAGTATATGGGGCCAGTGCCCTACTCCTTGAGCCACAGGTGCTGCCCCAATGCCCAGGTATTTATTGCAGTTGTCATTGTTTACCTGGCCCAGGCTGGATTCGAACCCGGCAGCCTTGGTGTATGTGGCTGGTGCCATAACCACTGTGCTATGGGTGCCAAGCCACACATGTATTTTTTGTTGTTTGTTTTTCTTTTTTGAGACAGAGTCTTACTTTGTCATTCTTGGTAGAGTGCCATGGTGTCATGGCTCACAGCAACCTCAAACTCCTGGGCTTAGGCAATTCTCTTGCCTCAGCCTCCCAAGTCGCTTCAAACTACAGATACTCACCAGAATGCCCCGCTATTTTTTATTTATTTTTGAGACAGTTTCACTATGTTGTACTCGGTAGAATGACGTTGACGTCCCAGATTACAACAAGCTCAAACTCTTGGGTTTAGGCGATTCTCTTGCCTCAGCCTTCCAACCAGCTGGGACTATAGGCACCTGACACAACGCCTGGCTATATTTTTGTTTCAGTTGTCACTGCTGTTCAAGCAGTCCCGGGCTAGGTTTGAACTCACCGGCCTTGGTATATGAGGCCAGCACCCTAACCACTGGACTATGGGCTCTGAGCCAATACCCAGCTATTTTTAGTGACGAGGTCTTGCTCTGGCACAGGCTGCTGAGCTTCAATCTGTGAGCTTAGGCAGTCCACTCACCTCAGCCTCCAAGTGCTGGGATTACAGGTATGAGCCACCGTGACCGGCTTTGCATGTATATTGAGACACCTGTCAACCAGACCAGAGTGTCTAGAGCAGTGATTTTCCCATCCAAGTACTAACTACATCCAACCCTGCTTAGCTTCTGAGATCAGACAAGATCCAGAGCGTTCAGGGTGGTTTGGCTGTAAACAAGGGCAGTGATTTTCAATCTGTGTGCAGCAGAACACGGGTGTGCTGTGAGAGGACCTCAGGTGTGCCATGAAAATTTTTAAAGATCATTAAATTATTTTGGGGAGAAACTCAAAGCACAAAGTATATTCTTGTTTTCACTTTTTTTTTTGAGACGGAGCCTCAAGCTATCCCCCTGGGTAGAGTGCCATGGCTTCACAGCTCAGAGCAACCTCCAACTCCTGGGCTCAAGCGAGTCTCCTGCCTCAGCCTCCCAAGTAGCTGGGACTGCAGGCGCCCACAACGCCTGGCCATTTTTTGGTTGCAGCCATCATTGTTTGGCGGACCCGGGCTGGGGATTCGAACCCGCCACCTTAGGCTGGCGCCTTAGCCACTTGAGCCACAGGCGCCGAGCCTCACTTTTTTTTTTTGAGACAGAGTCTCTGTCACCCTCAGTAGAGTGCTATGGTGTCACAGTTCACAACAACCTCAAACTCTTGGGCTTAAGTGATTTTCTTGCCTCAGCCTCCCAAGTAGTTGGGACTACAGGAACCTGCCACAACACCCGGCTATTTTGGGGTTGTCGTTGTCTTTGTTGTTTGGCAGGCCCAGGCTGGGTTTGAACCCACCAGCTCCAATGTTATGTGGCTGGCACCCTAGCCACTGAACTATAGGCGCCACCCCTTCACCCTTTTGTGGATCAACATAATTTGTGTGGGCTCTCAAAGTTTTAACTATAGGTTCAAGTGTGCTGTGAGATAAAAAAGGTTGAAAAACACTGGTCTAGAGGAACCCTTAAGACAAATCTAACCTAATATTCATTTCTGTTTTCTGTCTTTAGGTTTCCTAAAGGAGGCTAAGGGAGAGATAGTAGTAAAGATATAAAGCAGTAGATAAATGGTAGGAAAGGAGGAAAGGGAGAGTGTTGAGAAAGAAGGGTACACAGCTAGAAATACCATACAGCATTTGTTCTGAGTGTCAGATTAGCAGGTCAGCATCACCTGAGAAACAGTTTGAAATGTAAATTATGCAACCCTACTTTAGATCTTCTATATTGAAAATTGGGGGTGGAGACCAGCAATCTATTTTAACAAGACTTTAGGTGATGCTGATGCCTGCTAGAGTCTGAGAACTATCGCCCTAGATGTACTCAGAGATTTCAGGTGAAGGTTCCCACCACTACTACCTCTCCTCCCAGTGTGCCCTCCTGGACCTGTTACTCTGACAGCTGGGAGTATCCAACCACTGTGGGAAGACCAACCGCTCTGCTTTCTCTCACTGTTTCCTCTGCCCTGGTCCCCTGACAGTCATGTTGCTGGTATAAGGAGAGTTGGCGCCAACCTCTACAGAAGAACACAGAGGGGAGGCGGAGGCAGCTATAGCCCACTTCACCCCAGGCTGCAGCCCTCTCAGTATGGTGTTAAAAAAGGACATCAACAGAGCAGTGCAGTCTGCCAAGCCGCCTACTGCTCCAGTTGCTAGTGTTCAAACATTGCCCCCTCGTGGTAGAATAGCTTCAGATTTCTGGCCTTACTTAATTCTATCAAATATCTTCCTTTCACAATTACCATACTTAGTAATTGATTAAACAAAGACTGCAAGAAGATAGCTGGAACCACTGTGGTCCTTACCTCTCAGGGTTTGGTCATTCTTTTCCACTGGTAGTAAGGCCTAGTGAATGTTATTGGACCCTCCATAGAAATTACTTAGAGATTTACTCCTTGTCCTTAAGAAACTTACATTGCAGTTGGAGAAAATATATATACAGGCAGTCTTCTACTTTGTTACCTTCATACAACCTTACAAGTTAACAAGATATAAGACTTCTGAATCATCTTTTACTTTGAATTCAGTTACAACTTTTAGGTGATTTTGAGCCATGACATGGTGTCCCCTCCTGCCACAAAGGTAGGACATATTTTTGAAAACAGAACTAGGCCTGTTACTTGGCAATACTCTCCTGGGGATAGAGTTACTTCTAAGCTCTGTCCAAACTGCTACGGGGTGAGTGAGGTCTGGAATTTACTTAGACTTTGAAAATTATTCTAATCTCTAGTCATGACCATTGCTATGCTCTCCCAGGACAGTGAACAATGAAAAATTTTAGCAGCCAGGCCAGTTGCTGTAGCTCACACCTGTAATCCAAGCACTCTGGGAGGCCAAGGCAGATGGATTGTTTGAGCTCAGTAGTTCATAAGACCAGCCTGAGCAAAAGCAAGAGCTGGCCTCTACTAAAAATAGAAAAATTAGCTGGGTGTGATGGTACATGCCTCTAGTTCCAGCTACTTGCGAGGCCGAGACAAGAAGATCACTTGAGTCCAAGAGTTTGAGGTTGCTGTGAACTATGATGCCACAGCACTCTACCCAGGGTGACAAAGGATTGCTTTCATCTTTTGCTTCTAGCATTGGTTTCAGGGGAGGGCTGGTTTAGTGTTTAGTCAGTAATAGGGTGACAAGTACCTCCTACCCTGATCTTGGGCACCTGTGAAATCTCTTAGCAGTTCACTGAAGTGCCTCTGGCAGGCCTGCTCCAATCATAAATTAAGAATTGTTAAGGCCGGTCCAGGTAGCTCACACTTGTAATCCTAGCACTCTGGGAGGCAGAGGCAGGTAGACTGCTTGAGTTTACAGGTTTGAAACCACCCTGAGCCAGAGCAAGACCCCAGCCCCAGTCTCACCCCAGGTGCTGTGATGGATGCCTATAGTCCCAGCTATGTGAAAGGCAGAGGCAAGAGAATCACTTGAGCCTAAGAGTCTGAGGTTGCTGTGAGCTATGACCCATGGCACTCTACAGGGGGTGACAAAGTGAGACTCTGTCTCAAAAAAAAAAAAAAAAAAGCCAAGGTCTTGATTTGGGAGTCATGGGGCACTGAGGGGAGGAGTGCCAAGCTGGCTAGAGAATTAAATAGGAAGCTCATGGAAGGTAACACTTGAATAAAATGTTTAGGGGGCTGGCCCTGTGCCCGTGGCACAGTGGTTACAGCACAGGCCACGTACACCCAGTCTGGAGAATTCAAACCCGGCCCAGGCCAGCTAAACAACGACAACAGCAACAGGGAATAGCCAGGTGTTGTGGTAGGCGTCTGTGGCCCCAGCTACTCGGGAGGCTGAGACAGGAAAATTGCTTAAGTCTAAGAGTTTGCATTTGCTGTGAGCTGTGACACCACCACACTCTACCGGGGATGACATAGTGAGACTGTCTCAAAAAAAAAAAGAAAAAGAATGCTTAGGGGATGAGGGAGTAAACCTTGCAAAAATCTAGGTAAAGAGCAATCCAGGCAGGAAGCAACAAATGCAGACACTGTGGCATGTTTGGCCTGTTCAAGGAACAAGGGGTCAGGATCCTGAGGCTGAATAGTCTATGAATGAAACAATTAAAGTCACAGATGGGCGCTACTTTATGCAGTCTTCCTATGCCCCCTCCTTGGTCCTGGTGCCATTGTTAAATTAGGGAGAAAAGGTTAAGAGGAGGCTAATGGTAGTGATCAGGACTCAGAGGGTTTACATTCTACCAAAAAGGCCGTGTTAGAGCTTGAATGCAGTCTTTTTTTTTTTGAGACAGAGCCTCAAGCTGTCACCCTGACAGAGTGCTGTGGCATCACAGCTCACAGCAACCTCCGACTCCTGGGCTTAAGCGATTCTCTTGCCTCAGCCTCCCAAGTACCGTGTTTCCCTCAAAATAAGACCTACCCCGGCTCGGCGCCTATAGCTCAACCGGC